AGTTGAAAATGTTGTGGGCCGAAGGAGTCCAAATGAGAGATGCATCAACCAACACTGTATTCCGTATGCGTGTGATGTTGTTATGGACTATCAATGATTTCCCAACATGTAGTAGTTTTTCTAGATATAGTGGTCAAGGTTATTTAGCATGCCTTACTTGTAATGTAGACACATCTTCCATTCATGTGACCAGCATATGTCTTATGTTGGTCACAGAAGATTCTTGCATATGATTCATAGTTGGAGGCAAAGTTTATTATTTAATGGTCAACATAAGAGAAGACCGCGTCCAAGACGATTCATTAATGCAACTATATTAAAACAACTGGCTCGTCTCCCTAGTCGTACTCCGGGAAAACATCCTAAGCACGGGGGTGCAAAAAGAAGGCACTCCGATGAAGCAAAAAAAAGAGTCGAATTGGACGAAATGGAGTATCTTCTTTGAGCATGAGTATTGGTCTTCCCTTGAGCTAAAACACTATATAGATGTTATGCACGTGGAGAAAAATGTGGATGAGAGTGTGTTGAATATTGCACTGATTAATGAAAAACCCAAAGACATAAAAGAAGCAAGAAATGACTTGAAAAATATGGGAATTCAGCCAGATCAATGGCCAAAAGAAAAGGTCAACAAGAGGAAGAAAGTCAGCAAGAAAAAGGAAGACAACAATAAGAACAAGAAGAAAGTAATACTACCACATGTTGATTACTCGTTCAAACTAATTGATCAACAATGTTATCATGAATTCATTAAAGGAGTGAGACTACCTGATGGTTTGGATTGAACTTTAAGAAGGTGAATGATACTGAATAAAATATGATTGGGCTAAAGTCTCACAGTCATCACATCCTCATGCACCGATTGCTACCTATAGGGCTCCAAGCATGTCTCCCAACAAATGTTTCAACAACACTCATTGATTTATATACATTCTTTCAAAAGATTTGTACACGGTCCTTGGATGTTAGCGACATGAGAAAAGCCCAATCAGAAGTGGTGAAAATATTATGCAATCTTGAGTTGATATATCCTCTAGCATTTTTCGACATAATGATTCATCTAGTTCTTCATTTACCTAAAGAAGCCATTCTTGGAGGGCCTGTACACATGAGAGGGATGTATCCCTTTGAAAGATACTTGAAAATACTTAATAATTATGTTAGAAACAAAGCCAAGCCATAAGGTTCAATAACAGAGGGTTATGTTGCAGACGAAGCTTTGACATTATGTTCTATGTATCTTGAGGGTATGCAAAACAAATTCAATCGTGTTTATAGAAATGAGGATCCTGACCTTCCAAAAAGGAAATTTTTTGTGTTCTCATCATAATGTCAACCGATGTCCACTAAATGCTCACCGAACTTTATAAAAAGGCCAAAAAATCATTGCATTGGTTTGTACTAAACAACTATGATGAGGATGAGATGAAAGGCTATAAATTGTAACTTTTGTGATCAATTAACTACTTTTTCGATAGTGTTATTATATCTTCAAACTATTCTAATTATTGTTATGTATCTTGAGATAGAAGTAAGTACACAATACTTTTTATATGTAAAACTTTTTATACTTTTTAATTTTTTTTTACTAATTAAATTTGTTTTTTTATTGCATACATATTTTGATCTTTATATGTATCGAGTTATGAGATTGTGGGTATGTGTTCAAGCAGCTGTAAATGTCGACTGCCAACGAGTTTATAAACAACACAAACATAAATTGAAAAACTATTTTGATGAAGTTGCGGGTATGATGATGTGGAAGGTGCAAGTGAAAATCCACCAGAAGAACTGGACAATGAAGCCTTGAACTACATGATTGATCTTTTTTTGAGCGAGGGTTATAGAAATCAGTCGATATCAAGTAAAGAATGTAGGGCCAAACTTCCACATACAAGTGCTCATGGTAGTAGATTATATGCAGATAGACGCTGTGACGAGGTAATTAAATCTATTTGTATTATATAAATTTTTTATTAACACTTATATAAATATATTAACTGTTTTTGGCTTATTATAGGTTGCAAAAGGTAAAAAACCGCGACATATTGAGGGTTGGAGAGAGATGCACTTTAAAGAAGGTCATGGTTGGTTATACCGCAAGTAGAATTAGATTGGGTAAGTAATAAACAAAGTTAATAGGCTCTTTGGTAAATATGTTATTATTATCATTATAGTTTTTTTAAGGTATATTATTATTATTTTAGTGTTTAAATTCAGTTATTTGTTTTAACTAATGTATGTTTATTGTTTTCTTTATTTTAGGAAAAGATTCAATGGGAGAAGAGGAAGATGCAAGAAAAGCTCGGGGAGGGTGAACACTTAAATGAAGAACATTGTCTCATTCGTGCCCTCGGTAAGAAAAGCGTACATGTTCGCAGAGTTGGAAGGAAACCAAGCAGCAACGATCATTTAATTCCAAATCAACATTCCAAACCTTCCAAAGCCAAATCTCAAAATACTAATAATCCCCAAGTTAGCTACATTAACCCAACAAATGCAATTTCAAATGCAACAATACATGCAACAAATGCAACAAGCGTATAATAACTCCTTCGCGTCCGTAATTCCTAACTTCCAACCACCAACAATGCCACAATTTTCATTCAATCTTAACATGTTTCAACAAAATATCCCCAAACCAACCAACGAGACCGATGAGAACAATGAAGATTGTGATTGATCTTTTATGTTTAATTTAAACATTGTTTGTTGAAGACTTGATTTTTTTTTGTTATTTTGGTATATAGTAGATCTTGAATTAGAACTTTGATGGTTTGTTATGATTATTTAGTGTTTGACATTATGTTGCATATATAATGGTTAAATTTGTTTTTTTAACAGGTTTTGTATATATAACAAAATTTATGAAAAACATTAAAAAAAAGAAGAAAGATTTACCGACGACATGTTGTTGGTATAAGTCATGACCGTAAAAAGGGTTATGACTTATACCGATAACATGTCGTCGGTAAAGCTCAAATGAAAACAACGGTTACTAACATTTCCCGACGATAAGTTGTTTGAATAGGTTGACCTTTCACGACGACAAGTCGTCGTACAAGTTGCCTCTATACTGACGACAAGTCGTCTGTTAAAGAATATAATAATTTTTTTTTCTCGAAAATCACTTCCGACGACCATTTTCAGACTTCTGACGACCATTTTCAAACGACAAGTCGTCAGGATTGGTTGACATATACCGACGACATCTATCCCACTTATAGCGACGGAGCTATACCGATGACTTTTTCCAGAAAATCTGTCGTTGGCATGGGCTTTACGGACGACTTATTGTCAGCAAAGGATTAAAAATGCTGTCGGTATAGGGTTGCATTCTTGCAGTCATTTTATTAAATTTTAAAATATATGATAATAAATATATAAATTAAGAATGAAATCTTAAAGGATCTCTAATCATTTTTTTAAATATGCGATAATAAATATATAAATTAAAGAGAATCTTAAAAGATCTCTATTTATTAGAAAAGCTTTGTACGTGGTATATTTCTATTAAATAAAATATTTCCAAAAAACTATGCTAGCCATAGTAGATTATAGACTTTGATTCTCCTTAGTAAAGATCATGAAAAAACCCTACATCTACCGAAAAACCCCACATCTACTGACTACAGTTACAAACTTACAATCGTTTCTGCGAGATTAAACGTTAAACGCTAGAAACCCTTCATTTTCTGCCTATTATTCACCGAAACCTAACTCTAATCATCGATCTACTCATTTATCAATTATCAAAGCTAGCGCGCTACAGGTTTTCTCTCAAGTCTCATCACATATATACTTGTGTCAATTTCATTAATGTGGCTTCTTACGTGCATGCAATTCGACGCAAATCAAATCTTAATTTAGAGTCGGCAATTTCGTTTCGTATTTAGCCTTACAGTATATGCGCCCGAGTCTTTACTGCGATCCGATCCATGGAGTGTGGCTAAGAGCATCCACAATGGTGAGTTGAATGTGGGGAGTTGAATGAGGTGACAAGTCTATTTGTCATTCAATTGATTAAACTTCACATTCACCATAGTGAGATGCCAATTTGTTATTTAATGGATTTGGAGTTCAATGATCATTGAACTTTTCAATGGAAAAAGAAAATGTTTAATTCTTAAATATATACTATAAGTTAACTTTATATTGTTCAATGCATAGTAGAAAAAAAATTGATAGAGTTGTATGGAATGTAAAAAAATTATGTATCAATCCATTAAACTCTATAAAATTCAATGCATTGTCGATGTCTAAGTAGTTAAAGATTCTATATGTAATATAACTGATGGTTATAACTTTAGAACTCTGTTTGGAAATTAACAAACAATTTGAGCTTTCATACATGAACATGTGTACGGATACATCATTTATAGTGCTCTGCCTGTTTTGAACAAATTAATTAGGTAAGTCTTTCTTTTCAATGCATTTAAGATGAGATCGATTCTGTTTTGGTCCTTCGAAGAACATCTATCTAGTAAAAGTTTAAAAACTTGTATTTTATTTTTTAGCATTTTAGAATGTAACAATCTTGCTTATAAACATTACTTTTATTGATCCGAAGTAAAAACATATTTGTTGGATTGAATTTTTTGTTTGTTACAGATAAGTCATTTTCAACCCATAAGTATACACAAAATTGATGCATGTTCCCTTGTGCGTAGTTATTTCTTCCTTGTGTTACATTCAGTAGCGGATCTAGCCCCTTTAAGTGGGGTGCATGGACCCCACTTGGAGGTGGGCCCCACAATTTTTACTACTAAATAGTCCTCCAAAAAATCCAAGTTTTACAAAAAATCCCCTCTTTGGCACCCGCTTTTACATTAAATACCCTCATTGACACATTTTTTACTTCAAAACCCCAAAAATACATTACATTTTCAGAATTTTATAATTTTTTGTATTTTTTGGACCCCGGTTAGATTTGGTTCTGGATCCGCCACTGGTTACATTTTACAAGAGAATGTAATATTTTGAAACAGAAGCCGATCGAGATGGAAACGAGCATCTCAAGGAAAGAATCTAAAGATGAGAAGAAGATGAGGAAAAGAAAGAGAAAGAAGGTTGACGGGTTTGTGTTTCTTCCGGATGACATCCTTTTAGATATCCTCAAAAGGCTCCCTGATGCTTCCCTTCGTTATAAGGCTAAGTATGTCTGTAAACGATGGTTGGATCTAATCAGTAACATGAAATTGCTAGACCATGCTTCTTTTATCCTCCAGAAGACGGGAGACTTGACAGCACGTCATGTGGGTATAAGGGAAGAAGGAGAAGGGCTACAAGTGAAAGTGCACGATCTTGACATGCCTCGCATAGGCATCATAAAGTCTTGGGGTAACGAGCTAATGCTAATATCAGATTATAAAAAACAATCTCTGTATATTTATAATCTAATCACGAAGGAAGGATCATATCTTCCGCAATGTAATGCATCATGTGGAGGATATTGTATTATCAAATGTGGAGTTGCAATTTCTTTCGATATGTTCAAGGGAATATATAAGGTGGTTCACTTGTTTATGGGGCCACCAATCGAATGTCATATCCTTATATTGAGAAGTGACCATATTGCTTCTTCAAAGTGGAAAAAGATCCAAGTCCCTTGTATGAATGGAGGGTTGATGTATTCTTCTAACCCAGTTTCAGTTCAAGGAAGGTACTTTCACTGGGATAATTACATTGATAAGAGCCTGGTTTCCATGGATATGGTGAAAGAGAAAATTATCGATATGAGTCTTCCCGGTGATTGTAAAGGAGTTAACTATACTATTTTTGAGATGGGTGGTTCCCTGGCTCTCTTTGCTGGAGATAGTCCGGACAAATCTGAGATATGGATTCTTAAAGATTTTCAGAAGAAGAAGTGGGAGAAGTTGCAGTCAGTTACTCTTGAGAAATGGTATTACAGAAGATTTCCTGTCTGTGGCGTGATGAGTAACAGATATATCATCCTGGAATGTAAATACTATAATGGAATGTGCTATTATGATGTGAAAAATGGAGTCGTGAAAATGCTAGACATCCACATGAACGTTGATGATGGTTGCCTGATTCAGCACCATCAAGTTTTAAATAATCTAACTGCATAAAACAGGACGGGGGAGGTATATATTTCCCTACCTTTAGTTCTATTTATCAACTAACTATTTAATTCGACTATGGTCTGGTTTCGTTCTTTTTTACATGCATGGAACACATCTTTTTTTTGCTATATACACCCCACCTGAGTTGTAAACAACTCACTTTTTCTCAAGGATTTGAGCCCTTGCCCATTCCCAGCTTCCAGATTGTGTACGTAGGAAACAAATCTACCATCTGTTGAACCATAATTATATCACTAGATTATTAGAAAAAATGCTTTCCTTGACTAATGCATATACATGAGACGTACATGTGTGTCGTTCAAAGCCATGTCATAAAAAAATGAGAGGCATTTGGTCTCCATAAATTTTACGACATTTACAACAGACATATGACCTACAATTAAGAGAGACATACACGACATTCGTTTTCAACAGACATTTACGACTCAAAATTACGACAGATATATTGTATGTCATGATGTTTGACAACATACACTTGTATGTCATGGTTTTATATTTTTGTAAACTATATATATATATATATATATATATATACTAGTCGTTACCCGCGCAAAGCGGCGGCGGCGAATAGTTTTTTTCGACGATTAGTTTCTTTTCGGGACGAAAACTATGTGACTTTAACGAAAAAAAGTTAAAGACGAAAACCAATAATATGAGAAACCACATGGACCATTTATGTAAATTTTTCTAAAACTTGTTAAAATTTTCAATAACAACTTTGTTAATTTTAATCTTCGTATTAGAATAACTAAAAAACAAACTCAAAACAATGTAAATGTAATTACTGATGGTTGACTGTACAATATTAATCACGTAACACTTCTTTATACACCACATTGAGATATATAGACTTCGTCGTTGTTGAACTTTTTTTCATGATTCACTAATACCTTGTATTGTCACGTGATGTTCCTCTGGAAAATGTTATATAAAGTTGTCTGCATGAGAATACTGATTTTGGTAGATACATACCTACATTCGAAATTATCGGTTCCTAAGCTTTATTGATTGTCACCGCAAAACATATTCGAATAAGAAAGTATTTTCTCTTCTGTTTGGATTTATTTTATTATTTAAAAACTCATTTCCATAAAAATTACTATATTTTTTTGTTTAAGTTGTTAACATTATTTCTTTAGAAAACCACTCGAAGGGGTTACCAAGATGTAGACGTCGTTTATCAGCTTGTAGCGCACTTCATTATTATACTTTAGGAATTGGTTCCTAAAGATAAATTGAACACTTTTAAACAAAATGTTTGTTCACGAATTCAAATATAATAAACACACTAACAAATAATATTTTTATGGATAACATGGTCGTTATTAAAAAATAAAATATCATTTTTATATATTTATATTTAATTTCTTAATTTTCTTGAATTTATTTATCTATTGCTATATAAGTGTTTTTTTTAATTATTACGTTTTAGTATTCTTTTTATAGCATTTGTTGTATTTTATATTAAAAAAGCTATGAGTAAGAGAAGTCCGTTGCTAACAACAAAACGATATGAAACCTAGGAAAATGATCAAATTTAGAAAAGGTTTTAATTTTCAACTAAAATGTAGATATCTTAAATCACAGGGACCATTTTGTAAATTACTCAATATGAAAATCATAGGCAGTGGAAGTTTTATTAGATGGATCCAAGTTTGAAGCAAGTTGAATATTTATATTTGGTAAGTAAAATTTAAACGAAAATGAGTAATTTGTTATAGTATGAAGTGGCAATAAAATGCTATACATTGTTGACAGATTTGCACTTTAAGTATAAACAGAACATTTCATACATGCTTTTATTATATGCCTATCACCAATGTTTTGAAATTTAGACAGATTTTCCCTAAACACTGAAGATGCATTAATAACTGTCTCACTAATGTATGCTCTCTCCTGTCCAAGCTCCTACAAAACCAAATTGGCAAATTTATGAGATTTATCACATAATCATTACTATAGATGAAGGAAATGCATTCTCAAAGTAACTAAAAGAATTTACTTTGAAGAAATGGCAAAAATAAAATAAAATGATCAATAAAACCATCAATAGTGAACATATTTGACTGATCCAAATTAAAGATGCATCATGCAATTAATAGAGGCATCACAAAAGTTTTGGACAGATTTGCCCCTGAAACGGTATACTTGATATGTGTGTATTAAGGGTGGGGTAACGACAAACCTCATTTTTGATTCTGTGTAGCTTTTCCTGAAATTACACAAACGAATTTATGTTAAGCAAAAACATAGTAAGATTACCTTTCTTGGGCTTCTTCTTTACAAACCAAAGAAAGTGGGTTCAAGGCTTTCAAAACTTTTCAAAAAACATAAGATAAGAAAACCATTAAAATATCTTAATATGTACAAAAAAAACATAACATCTAGTATGAGTCTGTGATTTAAAAAAAAAACCAGAAAGGGAGAGGGCAATGTTGTTTACCTCAAAATATGCACTTAGGCATCATGACGTGATTAGGTACAAATGCAATTAGGCAATAGTTTAACTGATATGCGAACACATAAAGCCAATAAAGTCATTTTTTGATACATACCTGCTCTAGAAAAGTATTCAGCCACATTTGGTTCAAAAGATGCAAAAAATAGCTACCTCATCCTCTCCCCCTGCTTCCATGGTAACGTGTGGTCCATTTGGCATTAGAAACTAATTACTATTAACTAAATTTTATAAAGAGAAAAACATCAAATTGTCATCTAATGCAAGAAACTATGGACAACTCTTGGATCAGATTAATTCATTTTCATACCTATTGCTTGTATACTTCAATTAGCCAATCTCAATCAAGATCAGGGACAGGTTCAAATCATAATAGGTGCTCGTCTGAAACATGTTATATGAAGAAAACTACAGAGTTTAGGAAATTTTTATTTAAAATTACTTGTAAACACTTAATTACAATGTATTAGGTTGGTGTACATTACCTGCAATTGTCAAGTACTTCGTAAATCCACAAAAATTGCCATTACCACCCATGGTTATGTCAAAAGGACGGATTTTTGGATAAACAGTGATGATCCAAGCATTTCCTGAAAGCATAAACTTGAAAAGGTATTAGAAGGCCCTTCTATCATTAAAGATATCAATCAAGCCAAGGGCCCCATTTCCAACCATCTCAAATTCGCTTCCAAGCTCTCATTTTTTTCAGCATCTGAGAAAAAAAATGAAAATTATGAACTTGTTTTTCACATTAAGTGTTGTACACACGAATACACACATGGATGGATAGATACAAAGATACAAACGCAAATAGACACATAGGTACATACATATATACGTAGAGATACATGTATAAATCCACACAATAAATAACTCAAAAGGAGCACGCAATTGTAATGGGAGTATGATGCACTCTTACTGTCAATTGAAACACTTTCTAGGGTTTTTAAATAAAGTTGAGTGGTGGTGGTTGTAAAGTGGTTTAGAGAGAGAGAGAGACGAACCTATAATGTGCGATGTTGGTGATGCGGTTGTAGCAGGGGTGGAAAATGGTGTCATAAAAGAAGGCAGTGTTTGATGCTATGGTCCTCTAACGATGGTGACGGTTCGAGATAGGGAAAAGTTGGATTGATAGAAGAGAAAAATAAAGGAGAGATATTGACGGTAATGAGGGCAACATTTGTAATAAAAAGAAGTGAGATTGTTATTCCCTGATTCTAATACTCCAAAACCTTCAAAAAAAATGAGTTATCGTTAAAATGGATCTACAGAACCTGATCGATTTCTTCCCCTTTTTCTTCCGGTCTTACATGCAAGTCCAACTAAAGCAAATTCATAAAGAATAATAAATCACAAAATCAAAAAATAAAGTAAGAACACAAAAGAAGTACCAAATAAAAAAATTACACTTTTTTCATAGACTTGTGTTAGGGTTTGGCAAGGAGGTGTCGTGGTGGTTTTTAGCAGAAAAATAGAGGAAGAGTAAATCAGGTGTCAAATTCAAAATGAGAATGATGGGGGATGAGCTTGACGAAGAACGAAGAGGAACATATTTGGCTTTCACATTCAAAATGAGAATGATGTGGTGGTTGTTAACAGATCAAGGAGATGAAGGAGGGTGGAGCGTTCGATTTTTGAGAGAAAAGATGAGAGTGATTGTAACTATAGTTCCTTGATTTATGCTTTGACTTGGTCATCACGATTAAGGAGAGAAAAAATTAGGTCAAAGAGAACAAAAGTAGATAATTAGGGAAACACATAGTGAGAGAGGTAAAGATATGCATCGTTTTATTGTACATTCAGCTTAAAGTTTTGGACGTCTTAAATCTGTTTTTAGAAATAGTAAGGTTTGTATAATAGTATATATATATATATATATATATATATATATATATATATATATATTATATATATATAATGGGAAAAGTGAATATACCCTTAAGGGTATATAAGCTTAGGTACTCAAACTCACCATAATATGTCGTTTTGTTTGATATATTCATTATAATGTTCTTAAACTTCAATCCCTAACTTGATTTACTTTCAAGATTTTTAAATTTTCACTATTTTATTACTCTTACGTCACATTTTTTTGCCAAACATCTACCAGACTATATATATTATAGTTGAAAATGAAAATTATGTAAGATGAAGATAAATATGAAATTTATAAAAATCTTGAAAGTAAACCAAGTTAGAAGTTGAATTATAAGAACATTGGACAATTACAATGTGTAAATATGAAACAAAATGACGTAGTATGATGAATTTGGATACCTATTCTTATATACCCTTAAGGATATATTCACTTTTCCCTATATATATATATATATATATATATATATATATATATATATATATATATATATATATATATATATAGGGTTAGGTTTATATGAGACCATCATATTTTGTAAGACATGGGATGCAATCCTAGCCATTTATATTTGAGATAAAAAAAATATATATTTTTCAAATGCAAAATAAAAAAAATTCAAAAAAAAAAAGTTAAATTATTATTTTCGTC